CAAGACTTTAAGTGGTTAGATCGCACCATTCTACCCAGCCGGGATTTGAACTCGGAACCTTTCGCATGTGAGGCAACGAATTTACCCACTGCGCCAAGCCACCGGGCTAATGAATGGGGGAGTTTGATGTTTAGATTAGCGGATTTATTTATGGATGAGGTGAGGAAAGGATGATTTTTTTGTGCTGATGAAGTTTTAGAAGTGAATACAAGATATTGTGGAACTAGGACGAAATAGTATATTTCGTAACGAGTGCAAAAAAGTGTTTTTTGGCGAGTGGGAGGTTTATATCACTCGCCTTCGGCTCGTGATATAATCCCACGAGCTAAAGAACATTTTTTCACGAGTTACGAACAATATTTTTCATCACAGTGTGGCGGAAATTGGACTTTTCGTCACAGCGTGATGAAAAAGTTATATTTGCGACCGGTTTTTCCTACTGCAATAGAGGCTTTCAGTACACCTATAGAATATTGTATAGTTTCATGATGAAGCCGAAAAAACTCGTTTACAGGAATCAGAAGAGTATTTTAGGCAAGAAGACCCATAAAATTCGATTTTTTGGTACCTTCCAGTTCCAGTTCTGCGGGTCATCCAGTATCATCTTTCATCGGAAATTTCTATGGCTATCTAATGAGCATCACCTTAACCCCTTCCCGCGACATTCGCAACAGAAAAAAATCGAATAAATATTCATACTCCAGAAAATAATAAAAACAAAAATTATCATTTTTTTTCACTCCCATTGTGAATAAATTCGTTCTGGACCCCAGAATATCCGACGACCAGGGGTCCAGACGCCGTCTATTCATCGTTCTAAAACCCATGAAAAGCCATTCGCAGGCGCAAAAAAAATAGATAGAATTTAAGTGATTTAAAACCGTTGAAATCATCATTGATATTTTTTTATTTAGTCTATGGCTCTCGTATACCAGACGTTTTAGTCATTCATCGGGTTGAGTTTAGGCGCCATCAAACCGTCGCGCCAAACTGACGATTGAAATAATACGAAAAATTGACATCCTATCCCCCCCCCCTCTCCCGCCCCTCATTTCAGCAGATCGCAACGGTTTTATTCGCTAACTGAGATGATTTTTCGTTCGTGCCCCTGGGGAACGTTTATAACAAGCGATAAACACGGATCTGGGACAGTCTATTTGTGTGAATTTTATTGGTTGTGTGCGTGTCATTGCAATCGTCCACTCCAGTTTGATATCGACAGATATTTTTTTGCGATGGTTTTTTTATGCGTCTGTTGACATTTATTTTGTTATTCAAGTGTCTTAGTGGGGAGAGTGAAATCTCCTGCGGCAAGGGAGGGATTTTGAAATTATGATTATTTTGGATTTAAACTTTTTCAATTTTTCGATTGAAGAAAACTTGGAATTTTGAAAATAATTTTTTTGGATGGGGGATTCTTTTATTTGGCAAAATTACAGGATTTTCCGGCTTTAGGAATCATAAAATATAAATTTCTCAATTGCTTACACGGAGAGAAATGTTCAGTAAAAATTACGGAACTCTCACTTCACTCACCGATTACGGAATCGACTCAGAAAATTTAAGTGACGGTATCGTAATTTTGCACAAGAGATTTAGATAAAAATGACGGAACGCTCCGGAAAAATTCCGTGACAGTTCCGTAAAATTTCCTACAACCACATGTCGCTCCGGAATTACGGAAAAGATACGTAATTTTTATTGAATATTTCTCTCCGTGTACTTGGAAAATTTGCAAATTTTTAGAAGGGGAGGATGAAAACGAAAAGGAATTACAAATTTATGATTTCGTTGATTTGTCAAGTTTTGGATTTTTTGTTAAAAAAGCATTTGAAATTTTGAAGTATTTTTTTATGACTGAGAAAGTTTTAAATGTTATAAATTTAGAAATTTTCAGAAAAAATTTCAAAATTTTGCAATTTTTCAAAATTATGAAATGGTAGAATTAAAAACTAGAAACAACTCCAAAATTGAGAAATTTTACAATTGCTAATTTTCAAAATTCTCCAATGTATGAATTTCAAATTTTTCATTTCTTCAATTTCAGCCGAAAAGATAAAATTTTCGATTTATCCATCATTTTCCAAAATTCAAAAAGTTGTTCATTTTGGCGTAAAAAAGTCCAGTCTTTAATTTTGCAATTTTAACATTTTAATTTTCCAAATCGTTTCATTTTTGTTAATCGAAGAAAATTCCAACTCCGACCCCGTCTGAGTTTCAGAATAACGCATCCGCTAATGGTAATAAAAGAGGCGCCAGTCACAGTCTTTCACCCGCGATTTTCTCAAAATCCCTCAAGATCATTCGCCCATCGTTTCTCCGAAAATCAAAATTTAATCCGAAATACCTCCATTTCCTCATTTATTTATTCACTTCACCTTCGAAATCCTCCACAAGTCTCTTTTATTCGTGCTGACACACACGATTAGGGGATTATCCTCTGAATGGTTATACCCCCGTGACGGACCGCCGTGTGATTTTAAATAGAGAACGCGTCCTTTTTACCATCCCGAGGCGGTATTATACTCATTTTTTTCTCCACGGAGACCATTCGTAGAAATGTCGCCAAGATTAATGGACAGATTTTTAACTCTCCCCCTCCCCTCCTCCCCCTCGCCGCCAAAAAACAAAAAAAAAAGAAACTATTCGAAAAATTCCAAACGATTTTCGCCCATCAATAACTCTCTGATAAACCGATTTTAGAAGTATTTTTCATGGAGACCGGAAAATCGATAAATAAAATAACGGAGACATCGATAAATCTCGGGATTGAGAGCAGAAGAAAATGAGAATTAAAGAGGTTGAAATAAAATAAAAAAAAACTATAAAAAATGTTATAATAAAAAAAAATGAAATCTCGGAAGTGGTCCTTTCGTGTGTACACCCACGTGTTAAGACGCGTAGGCGAGCAAAACTCCTTTCCGGGGGCTCCCCCATAAGCATTACATATACCTCCGCCCAATTCTCATCTCAAGATGCGCCCACATGCCAAAAAAACCATGGGAAATAAATTTATACAATTTTTGCAGGCAAAAAAAGTCACGGTAAACCCGATTTTCCCTTATAAAGTCAGTTTTTCTAATAGCCAACTTATTTAATTCCTGGGAGAGACCTGAGATAATCCCATAACGGGAGCGTAAAAATCATCATTTTGATTAAATAAATAATTTCTTGAAATTGATAAACAAATTAAAAACCCAAAAATCAAACCAAATACCTTAAGAAAAAAGCCACGCGGCTTTTCTACTTCTATTTCTATTCATTTATTTACGGCTTCACCTTTAAAGGTTAAAAAAAATGTTTTAAGATTTGTTGTAAACCTGAAAAGGTTTAAATCAAATTGTTGGCGTAAAAAAAAATAGAAATTTTTTTATCGAACTTCCATTATATAGCTTGACTCTCGGCGTTTTTAAAACACTGGTCACAGCTCTAATTCGCTCTACACCTTCCCGAAAAAACAAGAAACAGAAATCGGCGAAACAAGATGATGAAAACATTAATTGCGAAATTCGCGGAATTAATTTACTTAGAGGCTTTCATGATCACCTTGCGGAGCCGGAAATTTTCCGTTCCACCGAACGCAACAGGTTTCAACCCCCCAACTCCACCGGAACCTTAGGAAAACCGCGGGTAATTTGAAGATTCTCCGCAGAGGACGGAAGCGTGGCGGAAGCGTTTTTAATCATCGAATTAAATTACCGGCGCAAAAAATTCTAAAAAAATTAACTTACGTTCCCATCATACCGCTGGACTCCCGGCGGTTCCAAAACACTGATCATAACCCCAATTCCGTCAACTCCTCTCCAAGAAAATCAGAAAACTAGAAATCGGAAGGATCGCGTGACGTCACGAATCGCGAAAACATTAATTGCAATATCCGCAGAACTAATTTACTTAGAGGCTTTCATGACCACCTTGCGGAGCCAGAAATTTTCCGTTCCACCGAGCACAACAGGTTTCAACTCCCCAACCCCATCAGAACCTTAGAAAAACCGCGGGTAATTTGAAAACTCTCCGCAGGTGACGGATGCGTGGCGGAGGCGTTTTTCATCATCAAATTAAATTTTCGGCGCAAAAAATTCTAAAAAATTCAATTGCGCTCCTATCATACCGTTGAACTCCCGGCGGTTCTAAAACACAGATCATAACCCCAATTCCGTCAACTCCTCCCCAAGAAAATCAGAAAACCAGAAATCGGGAGGATCGCGTGACGTCACAAATCGCGAAAACATTAATTGCAATATCCGCGGAACTAATTTACTTAGAGGCTTTCATGACCACCTTGCGGAGCCGGAAATTTTCCGTTCCACCGAACGCAACAGGTTTCAACCCTCCAACTCCACCGGAACCTTAGGAAAACCGCGGGTAATTTGAAAACGCCGCAGAGGACGGAAGCGTGGCGGAAGCGTTTTTCATCATCGAATTAAATTACCGGCGCCAAAAATTCTAAAAAAATTAAGTTACGTTCCCATCATACCGCTGGACTCCCTGCGGTTCCAAAACACTGATCATAACCCCAATTCCGTCAACTCCTCTCCAAGAAAATCAGAAAATCCGAAATCGGGAGGATCGCGTGACGTCACAAATCGCGAAACTATTAATTGCAATATCCGCGGAACTAATTCACTTAGAGGCTTTCATGACCACCTTGCGGAACCGAAAATTTCCCGTTCCACCGAATGCAACAGGTTTCACCCCCACCCCCGCCGGAACCACAAAAAAACGCGGCAAATTCAAAAATCGTCCGCAGCGGAGTCTCCAAATCCGCCGGAACGCACGTGAAAATCGCTAAATAAAAAAAAAAACGAGTAATTAGAGCCGCAGAAAATCCTCTCCACACCCACCACTACACCGTGCCACCTCCCCCACCCATGGCGCACACCGACGACGACGACCTGGGGGCCGGCTCGGCTTTTCTTCGGTCACTCAGTCACTCAGTCAGTCATTCATCCGCAAGCTAGCGAGTCGTGCGCACTTCGTAGCATTGAAAAATCTTAAATCGTACTCTTAAATCACTGCAATTGAATTTTTGGGGTGGGTCTGGGACATCTCGAGGATCACGGGGGAGTGATAAAAAAAAATCATCAATGTCAGTGAAAAAAATTGAGCAGAATGAAAAAACAATTTTTCAACTGAGAAATTGAAAAATACAACTGAGGTGGGCTCGAACGTTTGCGCATGCGTTTGAGCTAGTCAAAGAGGTTTTTCTCATCTTTTTTTTTTCCTAGTTGTGTTGTACCAACCGGCAATGATGACGATGATGAGACCGACGACAGTGCACGGGACTTTGTCAAATTGTCTGGATGTTTGTCGGGAATTTTTTTCACTGATTTGAAGTGGAAAAAAAAAATATTTGCAAAAAATTGAACTCATGTTCGGAGGTTTTTTCACACGTGCGGTTGACGTTGCCGTGGGACTTTGGTTTTATAACCGAGGACATTTCGACTGATTGATCGATTCGCTGGAATTAATCAGTTAAAATTGCTAATTGATTTGCAGTTTTTTCGGTCTGTGACTGTTTTCGTTGTTTTTATTGTTTATTTAATTTTGGGTTTTCGAGCCGATTGAGGCTCCTGTCGAAGGACTAAGAACTTTTTTTTTGTGGGACGAACGGTCTGTCACGTGCGGCACGAAGCAAAAGTGATTAGAGGGGGTTCTGAGATTTTTTAGCGGTTTTCTGAGTTTTGGAGACTTTGGGAAGATGATCGGGCTGGCTGGTGTTGCACTGGCGTTTCTACTGGGACTCACTGGGACTCCTGGGGGGGAGGCCAGGAAGGTCGCACCACTCATTGAGGACGAGTGGGCCAGGAGACCACATCGGGCTGCCGGTGAGATTTTTGAAAATAAATTTTTTGAGGGGTTTGCTGGCTTCGAGGGGAAATTTTGAAGTTTCTGGCGACGAAAATGAGAGAAGACGGTTTTGGGAAAATTGGGAGGTGTCTGGAATGGAAACATTTCGGACGGAATTTGGAAAAAAAAATTTTCGGGATTCGAAAGACGGAAATAAATGAGGAATTGAGGATTTTAGGAGAAACATTGATGATGTTTTTTATTGATATTTTCCAAAAATGGCGGGAGATCATTTTTGAAGCGCGAATGCAGTCAATAAAGCTGAGAGGAATGAAAAATAATTCTTTTGATATTTTTATTGCGCATTTTTTAATTTTAAAAAGTGAAAAATACTTTTTGTGCGTTGAATTCGGAATTTTTGGCGCCAAATGTCAACGGCAAAACATTGAAAATACTAGGGTGGGGAGGGAATTGTTTCTTTCAGGCTCGAAAATGAGGAAATATTTTTTTGTATTTTTTTATGAAGCTTTGAGAATTTTTTTTTATGAGAAATTGGAGATTTCGAGAGAAAATTTGTAGAAAATTTCAAATTTTGAAATGTGAAAAATTGCGGGAATATTGTTTCAAGCGAAGAATAATCAAATGCATCTCAGAAAGAACGAAAATACTTTTTCGGAATTTTTGCCGAATTTTTCCGCAATTTTCTTTGCAAAAATCGATTGAAAAAATCGAAAACAATGTTGAAAAAAATCGGAAATATCGATTTCAGGCACGGCATTGAGTCAATATGTCTCACAAAAAACAAAAATTCCCCTTGCCAATTTTTCCCGCGCATTTTTCGCTATTTGAAACTCAAAATTCAAATTTTCAATAGATCAAATGAGGAAGAATCGATTCAAAAAAACGCAAAATTCCCAAAAATATAAAAAATATTTCAATACCTTTCCTAAAAAAACAAAAACTCCCCTTTCCAATTTGTCTCGCGCTTTTGTCATCATTCGAAGCTAAAAATTTACATTTTCAAGGAAATTTTCAACAAATTTTCACGTCTTTCGGAGATTTCTAGCAAACTATCGATCGGATTAATACCAAAAAATATACCCTTTATGCGGTTTACTATTATTTAATAACTCACGGAGTTTCATCACTATGCGACCATTTAATTGCGTTTTTTCAAAACTTTTATAAATCGTTTGAAAAGTTCAGAAAAAACGCAGAAAAATTGTTGCACAGTGATGAAACTTCGTGAGTTATTGAATAGAGATGTGAAAATTATTTTACCGTTATTTTTTTTTCTCGTCATATGAAAAATGTATGACCGTCATGTGACGTCACATTTTTTTTTTCATAATTTGAGTAGCACTTTTTTTTTGTCATAATTTGAGTAATATCACATTATTTCCGGTATTTAGATGGGATATGATGGTCATATCAAATTTGTTACAAAAAAGTATGTAAATGTAAAAAAAATTGATATTTTACAAAATGTGATCGATGCGTTAATTTTTTAAATTAAATGTAACGAGTAGCCCTTCGTTTTGAAATTCAATTGACGTGCAATTGACGTGAATTGACGTGACGGGTTGAAATGTTGATGAAATTTAATAATTTTTTCTTTTCAATACAAAGAACAATTCTTTCCCTTCGTGATGAGCCTAAACTGAGCTCTATTGTTACATTTGTTTCTGAGTTATGAATAATTTTAAAAAAGTCTAAAGTGTCCATTTTACCCTACCCCCCCCCTAAGTCAATTTTGACTATTGACCAGTTTTCAATCAATATCTCGGAATCTAAGAGAGATAGCAAAATTTTTGTTATAACCTTTTTTGTGGAGCCGATTGAGTGCTACAAAAAATGTAATTACGAAAACTTCGCTCTCTCCCTTAGATTCGGAAATATTCCTCAAAAACTCAACTGGGAGATGAATCGACTCCGTTTACCACTTCACGCAGTAGCATTCAAGCCAGAAAGTGGGAGTATCTTGTACGAAGACTGAACTGTATTTTCTTCGCGTCAATCCGATCGACAGTTCACTGTCAGAAATTTTTTGAAATTTCATGGAAGATCTTATAGCAAATCTCATGAGAGCGATGTTCAATCGGATTTAGGGAAAAAATGGTCATGAAATTTCAAGTTTTAAGTAGAATTCACGGAAATTCATGAAACGGAAATTCATTTCCGTGCAAGTGAGATGGAAATTTCACAACTTGATTGAATTTTCAGTGAAACATGAATATTCAGAAAAAAAATGACATGAATTTTCTATTTTTCCCTGAATTTTTCGGTTTTTTCTGAATTTTCACTGAATAATTGATCTGAAAAATCAATGATTTTATTGATTTTCAGATCATTTGAACAGAAAATCAATGGAATATTTGATTTTTCAATTACCAGATTTCCTGGAATTTCAGTGCAACACGATAACAATTTTCGGAATTTGGCACGGGAAATTCCCCCATTAAAAAATATATTTAAAAAATATATAATATGGACCAATTCCATATATTTTTCAAATTTATAAGAAAAAGAAACAAATATATATAGGCTATACATTTTATATATTTTTTTTATATAAATTGGGCCAATTTAAGATATTTTTTTATATATTTTCCAAAATATAAATTTTTCCGTGCGGGTTCAGATAAAAATTTCTAACAAAATTTGCTTAAAATTTACAAGAAACGTAAAAATTGGCTGCGAGGAGACAGAACATCCTAGAAAAAATCAAAAATTTCCCCCAACCCCGGAAACCTCACCCAAACCGCAAAAAGCCCCAACAGCATTTCCCTCAATTTCAAAAAACTAAAAAATCGATAAACAATGATTCAATAAACTCCTCCGTCTCATCTCCGCCCGATTCTATAAATACCTGCCCTTATTGATCCCCAAACCCCGTCGTATTAATATCCCTCCCCCCTCTGTATATATGTCATCCCCGAAATACTGTCTCTCCCCCCCCCCCCCAAAACAAC